AACCGAAATAAACATTTCAAATGTTTAAACTGAGAACTTGTACAATTGGGGGGGGGGGGGGGGGGAGTTCTAAGTTAAAACATAGATATGTTTACAAAGTTCTACTGTGAATAAAATATAGGTTTATGATATTTGAAAACCACTGTATTTGTGTTTTATTTACATTATTGTTGTAAATTGTGGTGTTCTTCTTGACCGGACCGGCATCGTTATGACTGTATTTGTGTCTGAGGTGATGTTAAAACTACCTCCTCCTCTTCTGTTTGCTACAGGCAGCTTCCTTCACAAGAGCGCCAAGCTCTTCTTCCGACGCCGTCACCAGCGCAAGGAGCCGGGGATGAGCCAGTCGCACAATGACCTGGTTTACCTCGAGTCTTCGGCCGCAGTCGAGCGGGCCAGCCGAACCGCTACGCTTAGCCGCATGCTCGGCCGCAAAAGTAAAAGCAAGAGCAAAGCTAACGGCTCCACCCTCACGGGGGAGCAGCATTCGTAGCCCACACTTCCTCTCAGCTGCTCCCGCAGCTACCATCATCACTTCCAACTCAGAGCTGAGAACATGCTGACTGACCTCCTCCCCGCTCCAGTACCTGGCCTGATACTGGGGCTCCTGCACTGTGAACGAGAAGGCTGTGCAGACTGATGAAGCCTTCTGATTTTAGCTGTACTCCTCAAGTGCTTCCTGTGAGAAGCTGAAATTTCACCAAAAGCAAGAGTGAACAGATGGACTCAACTATCCTGTCCAGGGTTTGCCGGTGGCATTTCAGCAGAGATTATTTAGCATGTTTGTTTTTTTTTGTGTGTGTGGTTTTTTTTCATGCAACGTTTTGAAATCTTAAGTGCTTTTATGACCCCGTTACAGACTGAAGGGGCTGATGCAGACCATTGTTCTGTATCTCACCAACACTGAAACTCTCCCTGCTGCAAGTCTCCACCGACGGATGGACAAGACCAAAGATCAGGAGCAGAATGGCGTTTGTATCATTTGCACAGCTCGAGGACCTTTTATTTCAAGTGCAATGACAGAAGCTACTCATGTGATGTACTCTGTTCAAATATTCACAAAGGGAGATAATCATTTCACAGTACAACGAGCCCCAGGTGACTGTAACACACTCACTTTAAGAACAAAGGATGGGTCAAAATTACTAAAGTTTTGTCAGAAAATACTAGAAAATGTGTTTGTTCATTCTGTGTATTCAGATGAATTTAAAACCTTTTCATTTGTCCCTGTTTTGCTCATAATGATAAAATATTATAGTAAGCTTAAAAGGAGGAGTTTTAGCTTCATTGGTAAAATGTTAGGTGTTAAAACAGGGACAAAAAGTGGGATTTAAATATTCTCTGAATGCTCTTTACCAGCTGTAAACTACATGAAAGGCCATGTGTGTGTGTGTGTGTGTGTGTGTGTGTGTGTGTGTGTGTGTGTGTGTGCGTGTGCGTGTGCGTGCGCGTGTGTGCGTGCGTGCGTGCGTGTGCATGCATGTGTTCATTTATGTCTGTTGGCAAAATATGTTGTGATTCACTTAACAAATTCAATTTTTTTAGAAACTATTATGTTGACCGCCACAATAAATTACAATTTGGTGTCAATTTGTTTCAAGATGGCTGCCAGAGTCAACGGACCCAACCAAAACGTCTCCTGAACCGGAGGACAGACTTTAGTGAAAGCCTCAGAGTCCATCTAAAACAGATTAACTTTTAGAGTCACTCCAATTCAAGGTTGCTGCTGCAGCTAATCAACCTCTGCAAACACAAAAAAAGCATTCACCTCAGCCAGTTGTTACAGATGTTAAACTAAATGTTGGTGTAGGAGCTGGGAGTCATTCACAACACGTTCTGTGCACAACGTTCATGAAACTGCATCACAGAATGTACGAGGTCTGACCTACACTGCTGTAACTCATCCCTTCAGGGAGTGCTCGGTCTCTGAATATAGAGAGGCATCCAGCTTCTACAGAGCCCACTGTCACGTACCACTAGCTTCCACAACGATCTTTGTAGGTTGTTTTTATTGATGTACAGCCTTTGGTCTTCCTGAAAGCTTCCTCCTGCACACTGCTGTCAGCAGGCCTGTTGCCATGTGGGAAGGGAACAAACTTCATCCAGGGACTGTGTTACTTTTGCTTGTCACTCAAACCCGTTCTCTAGGGTCTCCCTTCTGTACTGAATGGAAGGAACTCTGCTCTCGATCCATTTATTGTGTTGTCCTAACAACAAAAGGAGAAATTGCATCTTTTTTTTTTTGTGGAAGCAATCAAATGGTTTAGGCTACTTTTCTTTCTCAAGCCTAGCTGATGTATGATGATGAACTAACGCATCGCCTTACAGTTCCTCCTAAAATGACTTCTCGGCTGCTTCTGACTCGTTTCGTGCAGCTCCACCTGCACCGTCTCTATAATCAGAAAGTCTATGCACATAACTGTTTACTGAGTGTTTACAATGTTAAACTACCTGAAGATTGAAAAACACTCACTTTATATGACGGGATCCATCTGCAGGAGCTGTGGGTGCTTCTGTATCGTGGTACATACATGGCAGCGTTGAGTCATCCGCCGTCACTGTCCGTTAAAAAATAAATCCAGGCTGAAGTTCAGACGGGAACGCCTTTAGACGCTGAGAAATTAAGCAGAAAACGAGTTGTGTAGTTTTGGAGCTTTTGTTGTTGCATCCTTCAAGCACCAGCTGCTGTAGATGATTTATTCAAATGAGCGCTGTATGTGACGAATAAACTGCTTGTTTTCTCGTTTCTGGCATCTGCTCCGTGCACAGAAAGCGACGAGTGCTGCAGCAGATTGTAACTAAAACGGAGTTATTTAACTTCCAGCAATAAATGTTGTGAAGACATGAACTTGTGGTGACACTACTTTGAATGTTCTAAACCTACTTGATGTGACGTTTAGCGAAAACTTGGGACTTTTACTTGTTTACTTTTATTATTTCTCCCAGTTTGTTTACTTTGTATCACTGCTTTTCACACATTTAAATGACTATAGCTTGATGAGTAAGGGGCTAAAAAAACATGCAAGCGGTTTAATGGTATTTAACATGTTTTAAATAATAAACTTCTGTCAACTTCATTTTTTTTATTTCTGATGTTTTCTAGGATTCAACATTACAATAAATATTAAGTGAAGATTTTACTGAATGTATTGCAAAATATATAAAGTTCAGATCAGTTTACAAACATCAGTGAAAGTCTTTACAGTTATAGACAGCGTTTCTTTACTAGTTTGTAGAGTATTTTAAATATTTTTATGACTGCAAGTAAAGGAGTTATAGAAAGAAAATGTTTATTGGGTTTAGTTGGAATTAAGTGCTTTAGCTTAATATTTGTACTATATCAATTGTTTAAGGTGGTCTGAGTGGTTAGAGCAGTCGTCCTCCAATGCAAGAGTTGGGGGTTCAAATCCACCAGCAGTCACATGCTGAAGTGTCCCTGGGCAAGACACTGAACCCCTCACAGCCTCTGATGTGTCCCATCAGTGCATGAATGTGATTTAAAGCACTGATTAGTCTCATTAGAATGATTTGTTCCATTATATTTGTAGAGATCTAGTATAGAGCTGTATGAATGGGTCAATGAGGACACAGATTGTTGTGTAAAGCTCTTTGAGTGTCTTGAAATGAGATAGAAAGGCGCTATATAAGTACAGTCCATTTAATTATTTCCTCGCAGAGTTGTTTTCGAGACTTGTCGCGCCTACAGTCCCCATAATGCACCGGGCGCGGCGCGCTTCCGGTCCTGCGCCGTTTCTGGAGCGGATTGGAACCCGGAGTCAGGACTCGATAAATGAAGGGTGTTTTACCGAGAAGGTAACGTGTTTCTTCACACTTCTCCTCGGGTTTTCCACCGAAATGGCGGCGCGGTTTTAGGGTAAAGGTGCAGCTGGTGTGTCCGGTTCGGTCCGGGTTTGTCCGAACCGCCCCCGCTGCTCTCTGCCCGCCTCTGAAAAACATCGACTCCCGTTGGGGCTTTGCGTCTCCGGTCCACCCGCCATGCCGACTGTTCTTTGTTACATTTTGGTGAAGGAGAAGGAGCTCAGATCGGAGTTAAAACCCGGCTAGAGCTTGGGAAGGACTCAAATCCTGGATCCCAACTCTTCCTCCCACTGTTTACATTACATGTAAACGATTTAAATGTTTGTCTCGCACAGAAAAAAAGACATTATCAGCGTTATCTAACAGGAAGGCTGATGGTGCGTTCAGGTACAGCTCAGGAGTCTCGCCCAAACGTATAAACCGGTTTGAAAGTTCAGATTCACTCCTTCAAACAGTTTGTGTGCAGTGTGACATGACAGCTGTCAGCTCCGTCTCTTTTTTCATGGATAACTTTCTGTGCAGGTCGGCATGATGGCTGAACAGACGCCAGATGTGTTCATCTGTGAGTATGAACGTCTCCTGCAGCTGTGGCACAGTGCGCGCGCACTGATGACTGATGTGATGTCTTCCACAGGGTGTGAGGACTGTGGCCAGTACCATGACTCCGAGTGCCCCGAGCTGGGGCCCCTGGTCACCGTCCCAGACTCCTTCGTCCTCAGCCGAGCTCGGTGAGTGACAGCTGGGGGTCTTCAACCAGCCTGAGCTCGAATAAACGTTTTAATGACGAGTGCAGATTATTATTTGTCATATTATTATTATTATTCCAACTGCAGCAGTCACTTGGAGAAACTTCATCACGTTGCAGCCACAAAATAAAGTATTTCACAGGGAATTTTTTAAATGGTACACCAACGTAAAGTAGTGAATAATTATGTACGGGGAGGAGAATTATTCAGCAATTTCCTTAACCTGTTGCTTCCTTGTTTTATTTTTTATTTTTTTACAAATAAAAATCTGTAAAGTGTGGCGTTCGTTTGTATACACGCCCCTGAGTCAGTACTTTGTAGAACCACTTTTTGGTGCAAGACTTTTTGGGTTCGTCTCTACAAGCTTTGTACATACAGGTGGTCATAAAATTATAACATGAAAAAGTTTATTTCAGTAATTCCATTCAAAAAGTGAAACTTGTATATTCATTCATTACACACAGACTGATGTATTTCAAATGTTTATCTGAAATTCAGTATCTCAGAAAATTAGAATATTAAGACCAATAAAAAAATGATTTTTATAAATGTTGGCCATGAGCATGTGCAGCATCAGTACTTCGTTGTAGCTCCTTTTGTCTGGATTACTGCAGCAGTGCGGCGTGGACCAGTCTGTGGCTCCGCTCAGGTGTGCTCATGGTTTTATTCTGTTGTTTTCCATGTATCTACCTTCTTTAATTTACTTTAGGTTTCAAAAGCACTGCCTCTTCTAATTCTTTTCTGCTGCTGTGCGCTCTCCTGGGGAGATGAACAGATAAAGTAACGGTCGTGTGTGCATGTAGCCTGGGTCCTCCTGTGTAGGTCACACCAGATCCCAAATTCACTCATGATGCTGGTCCTGGCAGTTCTGCACTCAGTTATTTTTTTAATTATAATTATTATTATTAGAAATGTATTCATTTCATAGGTCTGGCAGTTTTAACATCATCCTTCAGACCAGTCCTGTTCCCTGAATTATAGTGGGCCGCTCCTTCAAACTGGTACGAAACCAGCGCTTCACAAACATCTATCACCTTGAGATAATAACTCTCCCTTTTAACTAAATTCACTTGGATATTAGACGGTAGTATGTTTCTGTGAGCCTTATACATAAACAGTAAAATATTATAATCAACAAAGTTATATAATTTGAATATCTTCAGCTGATAAAACTATGTATTTGATGGATGGCTATAATATTTTCTAGTGATAATTCTTACAGCTCTTTTCTGTAAAATAAAAATAGTGTTTGTAATAGTTTTACATGCTTTACCTCAGAATTCAATACAGTAAATTAAGTGTGGGACAATTATTGCATTATACAACATAAACAGTGTTTTATCATTGAGTAACTCCCTTACTTTGTACAGTACTGCAATAGATTTAGGTTTTTTTGTTCTTAAATTATTTACGTGAGGTTTCCATGTCAGCTTTTCATCAGTGACACCCAGAAACTTCACCTCACCGACTCTACAAATCTCAACACCATCGACTCTGAATGGAGCATCGACACTTCTCTTACTGTTACTGAATATCATGTCATTTGTTTTATCCAAATTTAATGATAATTTGTTAATTTGAAACCAATTTTGTATTTTTACAAAGTCTGTCTGTACCAACTCCAACATTCGTTCTACATCTTTACCCAAACAAAGAAATGTAGTATCATCTGCAAATAAAACACGTTTAAACAGTCCCGACACATTAACCAGGTCATTTATATATAAAATAAATAACTTGGGTCCAAGTACAGAACCTTGAGGCTCTCCACATGTGATGTTACAAAGTTCAGATCTTGCATCATTTATTTGAACAAACTGTTTTTTCGTCTAAATAACTAGATACCCACTGTAGTCCTCTAATACCATATTTATTTAGCTTTTCAAGAAGAATACTGTGGTCAGTAGTATCAAATGCTTTCTTTAAATCAACATAAATACTGACACGATACTTTTTTTGATCAACATTTGTTCTATTAATTCCATGAGAGCCATTGATGTAGAATTTTTAGGTCTAAACCCATATTGATATTCTATTTATCGATAAATTGATCCAGTCTAATCACAAATAACTTCTCTAAAATCTTTGAAAACTGTGGCAACAAGGATATTGGTCTGCAATTGTTAAACACACGTTTCTCACCATTTTTAAAAAGAGGAATTGCCTTGGCTGTTTTCATGTTGTTTGGAAATATTCCAGTTGAGAATGATAAATTACGCATGTAAACGGCTCAATAACATAATTCATTCTATTCAACATTTTTCAATCAGGTCATCTGGACAGTTTTTTTTTTTTTTGTGCTGAAACGTTTCACCTTCGATCCAGAAGGCTTCATCAGTCAAGGAAACACTCAACACAACTGATTCTTCCCCCAACAGCTTACTGCAAAGTGGAACAAACCAGTTCTGCTTGTGATAAGATGGTCTCTTTGGTACGCCCCCTCCTCCATTGCTGGCCCTCTTCCTTGTTGACAGCCTTGTCAAACTGGTTAGACCATTTAAAGGTCTTTGCAGGTGTTTGGAGTTAATTAATGATTAGAGTGTGGCACCAGGTGTCTTCAATATTGAACCTTTTCACAATATTCTCATTTTCTGAGATTCTGAATTTGGGGTTTTCATTAGTTGTCAGTTATAATCATCACCATTAAAATAAATAAACATTTGAAATATATCAGTCTGTGTGTAATGAATGCATATAATATACAAGTTTCATTTTTGAATGGGATTACTGAAATAAATCAACTTTTTCATGATATTCTAATTGTATGACCAGCACCTGTATAGAGACTGACATTTTGACCCATTCTTCTTGGGGAAACAGCTGCAGCTCAATCGGTGAATGGGGACAGATTCCAGAGGGCGTAGGTTCTCAGCTGGATTTAGGTCTGGACTTTGACTGGTCCATTCTAACACATGAATATGTTTTGATCTATTGTAGCTCTGACTGGGGGATTCGGGTCCAGCAGGTGCACTTCTGACTTAGTCTCAAGTCTTTTACAGCTTCTAAGAGGTTTTGTTCCAGGACTATCCTGTTTTTAGCTCCATCCATCTGCATATCAGCTCTGACCATCTCTTCTGTCCCTGCTGAAGAAAAGCCTCCCCACAGCATGATGCTGCCACCACCATGTTTTGTAGTAAGAGTGGTGCGTTCAGGGCGATGTACGTTAGTTTGTCTGATCTGAACAGAGCAGCTGTATGTATGCTGTGTCTTCTACATAGTTTGAGAGAAACTGCAAACAGGACTTCTTATAACTTTTTTCAACAATGATTTTCTTCTTGCCACTCTTCCATAAAGTCCAGATTTATGGAGTGCATGCCTAATAGTTGTCCTGTGGACAGAATGTCCCACCTGAGCTGTGGATCACTGCAGCTCCTCCAGACTTACCATGAGCTTCTCAGAGTAATGCTCTGCTTGGCCGGCCGGTCAGTTTAGTCGTGTCTTGGTAGGTTGCGTTAAACTCTTCACATTTTCTAATGACTGATTGAATGGAGCTCCACAATATATTCAGTGCTTAGGATAATGTTTTACAACCTAATCCTGCTTCAAAAACAGTATCCCAGTCCTGTCTTGTGTGTTCCTTGCTCTTCATGATACTTTTCTCTAACAAACCTCTGAGGAATCAAAGTTCATGCTCAATAATCCAGGTAAAAAAAAATCCAACAAAGTCGGGTCCTCTGAGGCCTTCACAGGACAGCTGGATTTCTGAGATCAAATTACGTTCAGGTGGACTCTTTACTAATTAGGTGGCTCGTTAAGATGGCTGGTTGCTCTAGATTTTATGTAAAGGTGTCAGAGTAAAGGGGGCTAAATATAAATGATCTCTATGCTTTTTAGATTTTTATTTAAAAACTGAGTGCCATGTATGATTTTCCAGTTATGTGATACTGTGTGTTGGTCTTTCACATACAGTTCCAGTAAAATACTTTGAAGTCAGTTGTAACTTGACAAAATGCAGATAAGTTCAAGAGGTTTAACCTTTCTGCTGTCTGTGGGTCAAAATGACCAGTTTTAAAACCGAGTCGAGACTTGTGTTGACCCAAGGACAGCAGGAGGGTAAAAATATTCTGGCCTCCCTGGTCTCTCTCGGTATTACTGAGCCAGCTGTGGTTTTTGCAGCGATGTTTGTTGGGTTTAAGCTTTTTAATGTTCATACTTTGTTGCTTGTGTCCTGCATCAGATCATCTCTTCCTAACAGCCTGGAGATCAGACATGTGGCTGATGGGGAGGAAGGGGTGTTTGTACTGCGCCGGCTGGTCAGGAGGACCCGGTTTGGACCCTTTGAGGCTAGGAGAGTCCCCGTCTTGGACAAAGAAGGAGCATTTCCTCTGAAGGTGCAACCTAATGGACTCTAACCGCACTGAATTAAAATGCAGAGCTCCAGACAAACTTGTTGCACTGGTGTGTTTAACTCTTTTAGTTAGGTGCACCAACGTTTTCACCCTCATTGACAACCGTGTTATTATATCAGTCATATCAATATAACGGGAATAAAAGTAAATGTTTGTCTTTATTTCAACTGAAGAACAAACTCTGCATTAACTTGCATTTGCTATTGATGTTTAAAATGCCTGACCACTAAAACCCTCACAAATGACACCAAAGTGTTCACTGTTCTCAGATACTTAATAATTACCTGTAGATCCATGTCCACGTCCATGTTCTTCCTTTTTAGTCAGCACCAGTGTAAAAAGTCAGTCTGGAGCCCCAGTTTTTATGTTTTTGACATAGATGATGCAAATGTTCAAGCACCATAACTGCAATATATTAGTAAAATGCAGAATAAAGTTTTAATCTGTACTTAAATACCATATGAGACAGAACCATTTGGACGACCATAAGAGCAAGATTCTGAATTAAATTGTGATCCAGTCAGTATAAACAAGCTGTCAGACTAATACAGTTTTAGGTAAACTCAGTTTAACAATGACGGTAAATTAAAACAATACGTCATTTTGTAATAGCATATATTTTAACATCTTTACATTAAACATGAGCTGAGGAGTACCAGAGGGCCAAGCGGTGTGCAGCCTTGGCTGTTGCTGAGGTTAAAGCTCAGATGTGGGAGGAGTTCGGTGAGACCTTGGATAGAGACTCTTGGTCGGCTCCGAGGAGATTCTGGCAAACCATCAGGCGGCTGAGGAGAGGAAAGCAGCACTTTACTAACACTGTATTCAGTGAAGGTGGGGTGCTGTTGACCTCAACCAGTGATGTCGTCGGGAGGTGCAAGGAATACTTCTCGGACCTTCTCAATCCCACCAGCACGTCTTTCATGGAGGAAGCTGAGCCGGGGAACTTTGGGGTTGATCTGTTCATAACCGTGGCTGAGGTCGCCGAGGAAGTTAAAAAGCTCAGAGGCGGCAGGGCTCCGGGAGTGGATGAGATTCACCCTAATTTCCTTAAGCTGTGGATGTTGTGGGGCTGTCTTGGCTGACACGCCTTTGCAACGTCGTGTGGACATAGGGAGCAGTGCTACTGGACTGGCAGACTGGGGTGGTGGTTCCCATCTTTAAAAAGGGGGACTGGAGGGTGTGTTCCAATTATAGGGGCATTACTCTCCTTAGCCTCCCTGGTAAGGTCTGTTCAGGGGTACTGGAGAAGCGAGTCCGATCGTTGGTCGAACCTCAGATCCAGGAGGAACAATGTGGGTTCCGTCATGGCCGTGGAACACTGGATCAGCTCTTTACCCTCACTAGGTTTCTTGAGGAGTCATGTGGGGGGGTGCTCCGTGAGTATGGGATTGGAGGCCTGTTGTTACGGGCTGTTCAGTCCCTATACAAGCAGTGCAAGAGTTTGGTTTGCATTGCCGGCAGTAAGTCGGACCCCTTCAGGGTGGGAGTTGGATTCCGCTAGGGCTGCCCGTTGTCACCGATTCTGTTCATAACTTTTATGGACAGAATTTCTCGGTGCAGCCAGCTGGCGAAGGGTTTCCTGTTCGGTGGCCTCAGATTTCCATCTCTGCTCTTTGCAGATGATGTGGTCCTGTTGGCGTCATCGTGCCGTGATCTTCAGCTCTCACTGGAGCGGTTCGCAGCCGAGTGTGAAGCGGGTGGGATGTAAATCGGCACCTCCAAATCTGAGGCCATGGTCCTCAACCGGAAAAGGGTGGATTGCTGTCTTCAGGTCAAGGGTGAGGTTCTGCCTCAAGTGGAGGAGATCAAGTATCTTGGGGTTTTGTTCACGAGAGAGGGAAGAATGGAGCGTGAGATTGACAGATGGACTGGTGCAGCATCTGCAGTATTGCGGACTCTGTACCGGTCCGTTGTGGTGAAGAGAGAGCTTAGCTCTAAGGCAGAGCTCTCTGTTTACCAGTCGGTCTACGTTCCTACCCTCACCTCTGGTCATGAGCTCTGGGTAGTGACCGAAAGAATGAGCTTGCGGATACAGGCGGTTTGAAATGAGTTTCCTCCGCATGGTGCTGGACTCTCCCTCAGAGACAGGGTGAGAAGTTCAGTTATTTGGGAGAGACTCGGAGTAGAACTGCTACTCCTCCACATCGAGAGGAGCCAGTTGAAGTGGTTCGGGCATCTGGTAAGGATGCCCCCTGGGCGCCTTCCTAGAGAGGTGCTTCGGGCATGTCCAACTGGGAGGAGACCCCGGGGAAGACCCAGGACACGCTGGAGAGACTGTCTCTTGGTTGGCCTGGGAACACCTTGGAATCCTCCCAGAAGAGCTGGAAGAGGCTGTGGAAAGAGATGTCTGGGCCTCCCTGCTCAAGCTGCTGCCCCCGCGACCTGACTTCAGAATAGGCGGAAGATAATGGATGGACGGACGGATGGACATTTTTACATGTTTAAATGGGGGTAGAGATGGTGTAGAGGCAGCCGACCAGGGACCAGAAAGTCGCAGTTCGACTCCCATCCATTCCCACGTGTCGTGGTGTCTCTGAGCAAGACACCCAATCCCCATCTGCTCCCTGGACGCTTGCATAGCTGCCCACTGCTCCACGTGGGCGCATCCCAGGTGTGATGGGTTAAATGCAGAGAACTAATTTCATCATTGTATAGAAACACAATGATGACAATCTCAGGCTTCCCTTCCCTTTACAGGTCGTTTAATACATGGAAAACAGATGTTATTCTTTTCACCCTTCAGTAAATTGTAAGCTCTGTATAGTCATAAACGCAGTACAATGTGATTTGTTTTTTGTTTTTTCACAAAATCATCTTTGGTTTTTTTTTTTAGATACATGGTAATATTTAGCTTGTAACAAGTTGTATTTCTGTAAAACGTGACTTCAACCGCATCTACCCCTGTCCATCCGTCCGTCCGTCCATCTGGTCGGTCGGTCAGAGCCTCTGACGGGTTTTACCTTTCAGAGAAAGAGCCCTTAGATGAGTGTGAGCCAGAAAGGACATGTTAAGACAAGGAAATGTTAAACACACCAGTTCAACAAGGAAAGCAGTCCCAGTGTGACTAAACTGGTTGCGCTCTGCAGCCCTGAGATAAGTGATGCATTCATTATCTCCTTGGTTTTTTCCTGATCTTTCCTCCTTTATTTGGCAGATCTTCCAGAGAAATGGTGCTGTGGTGTGTTTTGACAGCAGCAATGAGGAGGACTGTAACTGGATGATGCTGGTGCGACCCGCCACCGACCACACACACCAGAATCTGACTGCTTATCAGCAGGACGATGGTGTTTACTTCAACACCTCCCAGGTACCTGGGTCCCATCTCGACTGCTGATTCCCTGTAGCTGGCCGTGTGGCTCACACTTCTGACTGCTGCCCTGTGCTGCATGTTTCCCAGGACGTGCTGCCAGGATCAGAGCTGAGAGTCTGGTATGGAGCTTTCTATGCCAAGAAGATGGAGAAACCCATGCTAAAGCTTCCACTCCAGCCCCCACTGCCTCCTCCAGGTAGAATGGCTGAGATGTTTCAGCTCGAGCTGTGTGGCAGGGTGCCAATACAACATTGTCTTGTGTCTTTGAAACAGGCCCAGCATCTTCAGCTGCTAAACTAAAGAGCCTGGAGGAAGGTGAAGTCTCCCTGCTCCAGGTGGCTGAGGATCACCATGCAGGTAGGATCATTCCCATCATCTATTGTGTAAAATAAAATAAAACAAGAAATGTCGCCATGCTTCTGAAGATGTCATGTTTTCTGGTAGAGATGTGTTTTTCTACCTTGTCCTGCAGGAGTTGAACCCAGTAGCATGGATGCACGCTCTGAGGCATTTCCTTTATTTCTGTTGATTACAGACATCCCTCTAGGTCATGTTGGCGAGGTGAAAGCAGCAGCCAACTCACTTCTACCCCAGGAGGGCCTGGGGGATCACGACGAGGGTGAAGGGACACCTGCAGCTCAGCCAGTCCGCAGGAGAGGGCATGGCCGAGGGAGGAGAATCAGGGGGCGCAGGCTCGGAGCTGCTGCTGCCAGAAACAAACACAAAAGTAAGAAACAATAAGTCAGACTTACCAAAAACATCTTGTATGTCCTAGTGATTTGAGTTTTAGACTCAGAAGTTCACCTGTATCTCGACGAGGTATAGGACGATATAGGAGATAAGACAAGAGGCACATAGTTGAGGACTGTCAGACCATCTTTGTTTAATGAGAGAGGCTGTTATTAGGCAGAGGAGGAGTTCTCAGGCTCCAGTTTTTCAGTACACACAGCCTAGGCAAGTTCCCCGAGTATCTAAATATATTCATCATATGGGACATTAACATGTAGTCCCTCGTTTATCTCGGGGGATCCGTACCCTGAAGTCCCGTGATGAGTGAAAAACCGCAAAGTAAGAATAGTAGTACAAGTAGTAAGTAGTAGTTTATTATATATATATATATATATTCTAAACAATGTTTCTAAACTCTCTAAAAGAGCACAGCATGCCATGATTTCAGCTCTCTGCCTCCTCTCAGCCACGGTTGCACTTTGCTCTCTTGGCCACGCCCACTTCTCCGCTGCAGAACGGAGATCACAGAGGAGGAAGGAGGAGCTGCAGGGGGAAGTTTCTCCTGCAGTGTGGGCTGCACAGAGGTGCAGCAGGTGCTGAATAATTTAAAATAATTCATTTTAAATAAAAATTCCATGCAGATCGTGCGGCTCATCCATCAGTCAGCCAGTTGTCTGTCATGTCCACTCTTACTTTGAAAAATCGCGATAGAGCGAGTCCACGAAAACCGAACCGTGAAGTAGCGAGGGACTACTGTAATAAGTCTGACCCTTTACTTAAGACGGGCCTTACTTGGAACAAACGACCATAGAGCTCCTTCGTTTTGAGGTGTCAAAACTTTTTCATATACAGTCCAAGATTATCCAAGTACTTGCAGGCCACAAAAAAATTTATTTAAGATTTTTTTTATGAACAATATTTAGTAGAAAGGACAAACATACTTATTTTGGTGAAGAAGGATGTACATAAAAAGCTTTGTAAATGTTAACCTTGTTTAAAAAAGTGTATTCAATTCCTTCAGTTTGTTGGGTCTTTTGTTTTGTTGTACTCGGAAAGTACTTTTTAATTTGTTCTTAGAAACGACAACATAAAACGACTCCAGTCTGTTCACGATTAAATCAACTGCACTTATTTTCTTTGAAAACACTTGTTATATTTAGTCAAGGTTTATGAATGATTATTCAAAAGTCTACTTTTGGTAAAAGTCTGTAAAGGTTTGTGGTGCTTTGTACAGGAAATTGAAATAAATAAGTAGAATTACCGGTAATTATATTATATTAATTATAGGTAGTATTGTATCTAATATTGCACATTTTGAGAAGATTTCGCTCATCTGTTTTCCTTTAAACCTAAAAATTATATATATATATGCATGGTCATAAAATTTGAACATGTGCATCTGCATCAAACTTTGAACTAAGCCTGCACGCTGAAATTACAGTAGCCCCAACTCTCTAAAAGAGACGGAATGTCGTGATTTCGCTGTTGGCCACGCCCACTTCTCCGCTGCAGACTGGAGTTCATCACACGCTGCAGGAGGAAGCTTCTCCTTCAGCTCTGGGCTGCACAAAGATGCAGCAGGTGCCAAATAATTTACAATAATTATTTTAAATAAAAATTCCATGCTGATCATGCAGCTCATCCATCAATCGGCCAATTAATTGTGTGTCACGTCCATTACTTTGAAAATCCGCGATAGAGCAAGTCCGTTAAAAATGAACCGCGACTTGGCGAGGGACTGCTGTATATCATTCTTTACTTGCTGTCGTGGGCCGCACAAAATCACTCCAAGGGCCACAAATGGCCCTTTCGCTGCACCTTGGACACCCCTAAATTAGCCCAAGCATCCTCTGAAGGCACATCGATGCTTTTCAGAGTTTTTCACGAAGACCATCTAAGAAGAAGAGATGCAGTTATAACCATGTGGTGAAACCTTTTAAATCTAACGTGCACAATCTCGTGATATTGCAAGTTCTTGGAAAATGTGTTCACACTCAGAATGTGTTGAGGATGACTCTCAGCTACTACCACACTGAACCTTGTCTCTGTATCTTTGAATTTGAATAAGATGTGTGTGTTTGTGTTTTCTAAGGTTAGTTAACTATGGAAACCATCTTGAATCAGGTTGACTCCAAAAGTTAATCAGCTGTTGATGCACTTTTAATGATTACGCTGCAAAACTCATTAAGATCCATCCACTGGTTCGTGAGATATTTTGCTAACAGGCGGACGCATGAACAGACACAGGAAAAAGCGTTGCTCTCTGACCTTCTGCAGTGGATGATGCATACCCAACCCTAGTTTCTGCTTATTGTTGCTGGCCTGTTTGAGACTGTTGACTCCTGATGTGTGCAGATGTGAAGCCTGGAGAGCAGGGTTTGGAGCCGGGGGCTTCAGAGGCGACACACAGCAGCAGACTGCTGGGTTCTCCAGACCGAGCTCCTGTCCTGAAGAGGCACAAAGTTCGAGAGCACAAGAGGGTCTACCGCTGCTCCCTCTGCAGCAAGGTGTTCCAGAACAGCAGCAACCTGAACAGACACGTCCGCTCTCATGGTGGGTGCACAGCAGGAAGTCCAGCTTCTACATGGAACTGACTTCATCATCTCCACGTGTCCAAGCAGGCAGAGTTAAACGTTGGTTATCAGAGGCTGAGCAGGTGTGTGTGTTAAATCAGAGTCTTCCTTCCTGCATCTGTCCAGGTGATAAGCTGTTCAAGTGTGATGAATGTGATAAATTATTCAGCCGGAAGGAAAGTCTGAAGCAGCACATCTCCTATAAGCACAGCAAGAACATGGTGAGTCACGTTCCAAACTTAAGTTTCAAAGCTTTCAGACGTTCTGTTGAATAATGTTTCCATGTCCTCCTAACAGCCTGACCAAGACTATAAATATAAGTGCAACATATGTGAGAAATCCTTTCGCCTGGAAAATGCTTTAAAGTTTCACAACTGTCGCACAGGTGGGAGGGTCTCGTTGTACGTTTTGTCCCTCGTTACAGTTGTGCATCACGTTCATGCCTCATGTGATCCTGCTGGATGTTTTTTTTTTTTTGTTTGTTTCCCCTTCATGTCCAGACGACAAGACGTTCCAGTGTGACATCTGCTCGCGGTTTTTCTCCACCAACAGCAACCTGTCCAAGCATAAGAAGAAGCACGGAGAGAAGCTCTATTCCTGTGAAGTGTGCAACAAAATGTTCTACCGCAAAGACGTGATGCAGGAGCACCACAGGAGGCACAGTGTGGGTGAGTCCTGTGACGGCGCAGCAAGCAGCTCTACAGAAATGGTGCTGAGAAAACGGCAAAAGAAACATTCCAGCTTAAAGGCATAGTTGAGCTATTCTGAAGTATCGTTCTGTAGAAGTGTTACGAAGAATTAACGAAGGCTAAAATGACTTCCTAAATCATCTAACTTTTCTGAGTGTTTCATGCAAACGCATTTTTACAAACCGGAGCATTTACATCGATTTCACATTGCACAGATTTGGTGATACAGTGGTGATTTTTGAGGAGATGGCTGCAAAAAACATACGGAATAGTTTAAGGAAACTATAATATGCATAGACAATGTGCGTTTCCTGCAAAAATGCAAGTGTGAATGCTTCTTGCTTAAGAATATCAAGAAAACAGTTGAAAAGTAGCTTCAAATATCAGAAGGAAGCAGAACGTGCACAATTGTTCCTAATTTAATGGACTGCCAGGCTGCTGCCAAGATAAACTGTTGATCTGACAGTACCATATGTTTGGGTTTGTTCTCGGCTACCGCTAAACCAATTTTCAGCTGAAAAGCTCTAAAAACGCCCGAGTTATCGTATTTTTTCCTTTTTAGCTAAGGTGGCCATCTTGAATTTTTTATTTTCATGCAGCATTTTATGGGAAACTTTGTCAGCTATCACCACACCAACTTTCAGCTCAATGTGACTAAAATTGGCTGATTTATAGCTTTTTTCCTTTTTTTGCTAGGGCGGCCATCTTGGATTTTTGTTATTCGGTCAGATTTTATTAAGGGTTGTTGTCAGCTAACAACGCGCCAAATTTCAGCTGAATAGCTCTAAAAATGGCAGTTATCCTAGGTTTTCTATCAAACAGCTGAATAGTAGCTAAAGAAATGTAGAAAGAAGCTTAAATTTCCGAAAGGAAGTGGAGGGAGCTTAATTGGTTAATTGGAGCTTAAATGCAAATTTTACAATTGAATACTTTTGCTGGATGTAACTGGGACCCTGTACACACAGTTTCGTTCCACCACAGGTCCCACGTGTGTGTGACTAATAAAGAACCTTGAATCCTTGAATTTGCAAGCAGAACATGTCATGATTGATTTTAAAAGTTAGCAGTCACTAAAAATATATTATTTATCAGCTTATGGCTTAGTTTACACATCTGGCAGATATTCTAGTCATCTTTATATGATCTATTTTCCACAAGTCCACCTTATATTCACCAACCCCATATTATGTTATTTTCCACAATTTATCCTCAAAGGTTATTTTATTCCTAACAGTAGATAAATGTAAAAGGTCATCTGGACAGATTATTTTTGGGAGAAATGTTTCATCTTTCATCCGAAAGACTTCATCAGTCTGAGCTAACCCTCATAGTGACGAAACCTTTCAGATGAAAGATGCAACGTTTCTCCCAAAAATAATCTGTCCGGATGACCTGATTGAACCTTTTTGTACTACTCTAATGTCTGAGCTGAAGTTGTTCCACGTGTTCTTAGCACTGCCTCACAGTGGCAGAAAGAAGGTAAACTTACCGTGACCTCAGCATCTTGTTCATGTGGACAGGACCAAAACAGATGAAAAAAGAGGAGCTGGAGGCCAACGAAGAAGAAGGGACCAAGTACAGGAAGGAGCCGTCTCCCTGCCCCATCTGTGGCAAAGTGAGCCTTCAGTCCTCTGCACCGTGGCAGCATCTCAAATACTTCCTCTAAATCCAGCGCAGACGTCAAGTACTTTATTTTGACATGTCTACTTCCTGTGTGTCCAGGTGTTCTCCTGCAGGAGTAACATGAACAAACATCTGTTGACTCATGGTGATAAGAAGTACACCTGTGAGATCTGTGGCAGGAAGTTCTTCCGCGTGGACGTCCTCCGGGATCACATTCACGTGCACTTCAAGGTGAGACTAGTTTTATTTGTATTTTGTTTTCATAGCTCATACAAACTTAGACATGTACTTATAGGTCATGACATCCTCCAGCAGTAACCCCCAGTCCGGTGCATGAACTATGCTGAAAAAGAAACGAGAGAGAGAACATATTTGACATCTGACACTGTGAAGTTAACGAACGTGTAGCAGCTTTCAGTTAGCTGTTTCAGAACTTACTGCAACAATAAACCAGGCACCAGTTGAAGGTGTCTGAAAAAATCTGTACTAGGAAGCTGAGACTCATTCCTCAACTGTTCGAATGATTTCAAGTATACGTCTTTGATGGTATGGCGTAGTTTACTGAAACCACATGCTGACCACTTACTAAGACCCCTGTCAGTCATAGAAGAAACTGTTACGATGACAATGTGCTGTAATCAAAGGAGCATGCAAAGATATAAAATCAGTAACAAAAGTTTTAGCAGAAACTCAACATCTCTTAAACGTGTTGTGCTCATGGAGTTGTTTTGGGTCCAGGACATCGCCTTAATGGATGAGCAGGAGAGGCAGGATTTCATCAGTAAGATCGGCATCTCGGTGAGTGACAGCGACGAAACAGACGACGATGACGAAATCGATCCTGAGCACCACAAGTACAACTGCAAGAAATGTCAAGTAAGCATCTTTGTGTTTGTCAGTTACAAAACAAGGTGTGGTTGTTCTGTATGACATAATAAATACACAATCCATCCATTCATTATCTTCCGATTATTCTGAAGTCGGGTCGCGGGGGCAGCAGCTTGAGCAGGGAGGCCCAGACAGCTCTTTCCACAGCCTCTTCCAGATCTTCTGGGAGGATTCCAAGGCGTTCCCAGGACAACCGAGAGACATAGTCTCTCCAGCGTGTCCTGGGTCTTCCCCGGGGTCTCCTCCCAGTTGGAAATGCCCAAAGCACCTCCCCAGGGAGACGCCCGGGGGCATCCTTACCAGATGCCCAAACCACCTCAACTGGCTCCTCTTAACGTGGAGGAGCATCAGTTCTACTACGAGTCTCTCCCGAATAACTGAACTTCTCACCCTATCTCTGAGGGAGAATCCAGCTGCCCTGCGGAGAAAACTCATTTCAACCTACTGTATCCATGATCTCATTCATGAAGGGAGTTTTTCCTTTCCACTGTTGCCACTGTGCTTGCTCAGGATGGGAGACTGAGACGAAGCCAAGATTCAACTTGTCTGCTGGATTCCTTAGATAGAGAACTTTACTAATTGGCTTTTATGTATGGGAATGTTCCTGCAAAGTGCCCTGAGACAACTTTGTTGTGATTTGGTGCTTTATAAATAAACTGAATTGAATTGAATTCTTTCGGTCACTACCCAGAGCTCATGACCAGAGGTGAGGGGAGGAACGTAGACTGACTGGTAAACAGAGAGCTCTGCCTTACAGCTCAGCTCTCTCTTCACCACAACGGACCGGTACAGAGTCTGCAGTACTGCAGATGCTGCACCAGTCCATCTGTCAATCTCACGCTCCATTCTTCCCTCACTCGTGAACAAAACCCCGAGATACTTGAACTCCTCCACTTGAGGCAGAACCTCACCCTCGACCCGAATACAGCAATCCACCCTTTTCCGGTTGAGAACCATGGCCTCAGATTTGGAGGTGCTGATTCTCATCCCAGCCGCTTCACACTCGGCTGCGAGCCGCTCCAGTGAGAGCTGGAGATCACGGCACGATGACACCAGCAGGACCACATCATCTGCAAAGAGCAGAGATGGAATCCTGAGGCCACCGAACCGGAAACCCTCTGCTGCCTGGCTGCACCGAGAAATTCCATCCATAAAACCCAACAATTTTCAGTCAGGTCATCTGGACAGTTTCTTTTTTTGCTGAAACGTTTCACCTTCCATCCAGAAGGCTTCATCAGTCAAGGAAACACACAACACGTAACTGATTCTTCCCCAAACAGTTTACTCCAAAGTGAAGTTGGAGTGATATGTCAGTGCATAATACAAATGTTTCTGTCTACCAGCTGTCATTTGCAAAAGGCAAAGAATACCTGAAGCACATCACAGAGCAACACAAGGAGAAAGGCCACAGCTGTGCAATATGTAACCGACACTTTGCACTGAAGGCCACGTACAACGCTCACCTGGTCATCCACAGAGAGCAGCTGCCCGACCCTGCAGTGCAGAAGTAAGACAACAGGAAATGCAGCTGCCATTAAATCTCTTCATCTAATAATTTATACATGAGATGTCATTGCTGATTAAATTTAGGTTAAATGTTTTTCTTTTTTTTCGTCTGCACTTTGGCTCAAAGATCCGATTTGAAACACAATTGCTGTGGTAGAAAACTACAACTCTGTGTTCTTCCCAAAGGTACATTCATCCATGTGAAATCTGTGGGCGGATCTTCAACAGCATTGGTAACCTGGAACGGCACAAGATTATCCACACTGGTGAGGGGCGCCCGCAGACCTCCGTAAAATGAGATATAGGTTTGGATGGGATGAGGTTGCAGCCCTGAGGTTTTAACATTTGTTCTGGGTAATATGTAGAAAAATTAATACCACTGAAACATAGGCCTGTCGCGATAAACAATAAATCAATTACATCACATGTCACACACGATAAATGATGATGAATCACATGATAAATGAAAATTCTCATTTTCATTTATCGTCTTTATCGTTTCTTCGAGTATCTCGATTTCTACTGAAGACACTGGAGGACAAAAGACTCAACTCCGGTGCTCTTCACTGACCCCTCCCTTTCTCTTTAAAATCTGTTTTAACCGTCCAAAATTATGTTTTTGGATCGTTAAAATAAGCTAAGCTACGAGCTAAGCTAGCAGGCCGACCTCGGGAAAAACCTCTGTCTTGTCGAAGCTCCAAAATTCACGGTTGAACCCCGTGCCTTCGTGTAAAAAGTTGTTTTTCTCTGCAAAAAGAAGCTGAGAACTTATTTACTGATTTTATTATTAAAAGATTTGTGTGAAAAATGCTAAAGAGCTCAAACCACACCGAGCGTCCACCATTTTGAGAAGTGATTAAAGGAAAGAGAGTCAGCCCATGTCACGTCAAGGGGCCTCCCTCTTATTTTTCTTAAAGACACGCTGCTCGCTCCCTCACTATCCATCCTTCTGTTCAAACAGTCCTATACTGCCATCCAGTGGTCGAAAAAAGGTGCTACACTCACAACAAATTGACAACATTTCTTCTTAAATTTGACAATAATTACTAATTATTGTCAAATTTCAAATGATATTATCGTTTATCGCAATAATTACTGAGACAATTAATCGCCCAGCAAAATTTGTTATCGTGACAGGCCTAGTGACACAACAGATTTGGTGAAATTATTATAAGATATTGCTAAGAAAAGTCTAATGTCGTTTCTTTCTTTGATGGCGCCATGAAACGTCTTTCAGGTTTACGTTTTATAATTCACATTGTTGCCTTTTCTGCAACGATCCAGGAGTGAAGAGTCATTGTTGCGACAAATGTGGAAAATCGTTTGCGAGGAAGGACATGCTGAAGGAGCACCTCAGAGTTCACGACGACAACCGTGACTACCTGTGCGCAGAGTGTGGCAAAGGTCAGGCTGTCCGTGCTGCGTCGCAGCTCGTTACCGCTTCGTTGCAGAGCGGTTGTTTCATGACGATTCTTTGTGCAGGCATGAAAACCAAGCATGCTCTGAGGCACCACATGAAGCTTCACAAGGGCATCAAAGAATACGAGTGCAAGGAATGTAATCGCAAGTTTGCCCAAAAAGTCAACATGTTAAAACACTACAAGAGACACACAGGTGAGTGACGGTTTGTGTTGCAGCCTAATCAAACATGTAGGGACACTAATCTAAACGTTGTGGTAAGAAGACATGCTCGTCTTGGAGCTGCACAGGAAGTCGCTGTTTTCACCCGTTTCTGTCGTCCCACCATTTCTGCAGGTATAAAGGACTTCATGTGTGAGCTGTGTGGAAAGACCTTTAGTGAGAGAACAACTTTAGAGACGCACAAACTCATCCACACAGGTAAGCTCCGGTCCAGAAGCGTGATTTTGCGATGGAATGGCACAATTTTGGATTATTCTAATTTCAATCTGAGCAATAAACTGATTTATGTTGTGCAGAATTATTCAAACAGAGTAAGGAGTGAGGCTCAAGATTTCCCTGCAGATTAAAAACATCGCACCTGAAATCCAAAAAAGTTCTATCTGGTCCTCTGGACACTCAAAAAACAAAACAACAAAAATATATAGAAACGTTTCGTCTCTCATCCAGAAGACTTCCTCAGTCTGAGGTGCTGTATTCAGCTCAGTCTCTTAAATAGCACCTTCTCAGAGTGGATCAACCAGTTTTGCTGCTGACAACCAGAACCAGCTGATCACATGATCAAGAAGGACCATCAGCCTAACAATGGGTCATTAGCACCTGATGGCTGTTTACTATTCACATTTTTTTGTTGTTGTTTTGCTTTGTTTTGTTTTTTTGAATGTCCAGAGGCCCAGATTGAACTTTTTTAGATTTTACTACCTGGATTATTGAGCATGCATCAGGACATTGCACCTGAAAGCACACGCATGTATTATACTATTGAATAAATAATTTGGGGGGGAGTGGTGGCGCAGAGGCTAGAGAAGGTGGGCCTGTGATAGGAAGATCGCTGGTTCAACTCCCGGTACCGACAACATCAAAATGTGGGTGGAATAGGTGAAGCACCCACACCTGCCTCCACCCTCATTTGCCCCACTCTGGGCCCTTGAGCAAGGCCCTTAACCCCCACCACCTGCTCCCCTGGGTGCCCCGGATGGCAGCTCTGCTCCACACAGAGGCTGTGGTAGCTCGGTGGTTCGTTTGTGTCAGGAAGGACAGCGGCATAAGAATAACTGCCATGTCAGCACTTTGGTCCTGTAGGTGTTTAAAGTGCTCTATAAATAAAGCTGGTATGTCTTCGTGCGACTTATTTCGATGTGGAGACCCCTGAAGAAGGGCGCAGCCGAAAGAAGAAACAAAATTAATAAATGAGTGTAACTTCAGCCACAGTAAAGTGCAGCTAACAACGGTAGCTTTTAGTTTGCCAACTCAGTATATCAGCAGGAGTTTGTCTTGGACCTAAATGTATTTTTCTTCTTTCTCCATTTTAAATTTAGATGTTTTCTAATCTTGACCTTACAGCTAACAGTACAAACGCTAGCTGTTGTAGCTGGTTGTGGCATAAAGTGACCTTGTTGGGGCACTCGGTGTGTTCAACTATCAGAGGTGTTAGTTGTGTACGTTTGCACAGTTCTTTTCCTCACTACTAAAAACTACCGTAGACAGATGTTTGTTTGTTTGTTTGTTTGTTTGTTTTCTTACCATAATCCTGTTCTGCAGGTGTGAATGTCCGTAGCGCAGCAGAATGCAGCAGCGCTGTGTCTTACTGCTGCACAATCTAAATTCCACCGTCCAGTATGAACACTCACTAAAGTGAGGGGTAAAAAGAGAAACGCGTTTTCTCAAAATGAGCTCCAGCTCCTCCAGGTCCAGCTGCAGGACAGAGAGTCTCCTGAAACCTGCACGAACAACAGATCAGTGAAGACGTGCTGGGCTTCACCGATCATCACTTTGTCTTTATAACACTAAACGAGTGTTGCGTACACTTTTCATCACCCCAGCTACACGGTCAAGGTCACAAATCAAGGTCAACTGTTATACAAGTTTTTTCCTTGTCATGGTCATTCCCATAGGTTCATGTGTAATAATAATAATACCTTGTTGCTGGGCGTTTAAAGTTTGGTATACGGTACTCTTGTTGTTGTTGTCTTGTTTTTAAGGATCCTATTTGTTTATCTTTCATATGAGACCTTTTCTTTTTGCACAGGATTGCACTACGACAATAAAAAAACGTTGGTTACGTACTGTAACCCCAGATTCTATGAGTATAGGCGCAGCCCTTTAAGGCTATCGCTAGTGGGTTTATCCCTTTACGCGCAGCACTGAAAACTTTAGTCCACGCCCACCTGCTGTGTGGGCCTCGCCCCCGGTTCGTATAAATTATGGTGAGACCGGGTAATTGGCTCCCAAATAGCTTTTTCTTCAGCCATTTAGGAGCCAGTGAGGCCCAGAGCTTAAAGGGCTGCGCCTATACTCCTAGAATCTGTGGTTACAGAACGTAACCATCGTTCTATTTCGTATAGGCTTCGCCCTTTAAGGCTGTCGCTTAGTGGGTTAAAGGCGAAGCAGGATGTAGTCTATGCCTCACTGGGTCCATTCAGACACAATATGAAGCGCCCGCTTGCACCAAAAAACATTTCATCAACTCAGCCTTCTGTGTGCGTAATTACGCGTTCCATGCACAGGAGCGCACTTTTCATTAACAAAAATCTCCAAGTGCTACAGAGTGCATCCGCTCGGCCCCCCCGTTCCAACACTACACTCTCCAGGAGGGAACGAGCAGCGGGGCTGCTGCTGACAGCACCTTTTCTGGAGGAATCATCCGATTCACTCCGTGACTCGGCGTCAAAAAAGGCGGTTGCGTTGTCCAACGATCAATCCCCTGCCACGGAAAAACACTCCTCGATGTTAGCCTTGAACAAGGCTGCTCGTCTCTGCTTCTCCTCAGGAGGGAGGAGGTCCCAGGGACGGCAGGAGGAGGCGAGGTCGGCATGGCGGGGACCCAGGCATCCTTCACAGATGTCGTGCCGGTCAAAGCTCAAAATGTAGCCGGTCTGGCAGGACGGGCACAGGTGGATGGTGCTGGTGCTGGACATCTTCTTCTCGAAAAACAGTGCTGGTTGCTTGCTGAAGAAAAAATGGGAGCCGATTACCCGGTCTCACCGTAATTTATACGGACCGGGGGTGAGGCCCACACAGCAGGTGGGCGTGGACCAAAGTTTTCAGGGATAAACCCACTAGCGACAGCCTTAAAGGGCGAAGCCTACACAAACTAGAACTTGACTCTGACTCTCCAGTCTTAAAATTGATCAGATCTGTTACAGCTTGGTGCAAACTACTATAAATAAATCATATTTTCATAATTTTTCCGCTGTGGTCTGTATAATTATCACGTCCTTCTCGTTTAAGTTTATTTAAATAAACTGTGGGTAATTGCATCCATCCATCCATCCATCCATCCATCCATCCATCATCTTCCACCTGTTCTGAAGTCGGGTCTCAGGGCAGCAGCTTGAACAGGGAGGTCCAGACATCTCCTTAAAGTCTCCTCCTCCAGCTCTTCTGGGAGGACCTCCATGTCCCAGCACACTGATGCAGTAATCCATGCAACAGGAGCCCTTTAAAAAACTTTAATAAGTTTTAACTGGTGTTATGTAAAATTCTAAACTTCTGAGAAAATCCATAATCAAAACAAACAAAGCAGAAATGATCAATACTGTACATCATATGAGTTTTACTGTTTAAATTAACTAAAGCACATCAACTTTTCAGTGATATTGTAATTTATTGAAGTCCACCTGTAGATTTTTATTGGGGGGGCGGGGGGGTCTGCCTGAGCCTCCATCATGCAGAAGCTTTAACGACCTGTTTGTGCTGTTTGTGTTTTGGTTGCAGTGGGTAAGACGTGGGTGTGTACAACATGTGATAAGAAGTACCTGACGGAGTACATGCTGCAGAAACACATCCACCTGACCCATGAGAAGGTGGAGGCCCAGTCCTGTCACCTCTGTGGGACCAAAGTGTCAACCCGCGCCTCCATGAACCGCCACCTGCGACGCAAACACCCCGACGTGAGTGCGCGGACGTGCCTGCACGCCACCCGTCAGGTCTGATGTGTCCTGCAGGAGGATTGAGGAGCTGACGGCGCTCTGCCTTGTGCCTGCAGGTGGCTGTGGTCCGGCTGGATGAGTTCGATGACTTTCAGGAGAACGCCACGCTCAATGACTCGTCTGTCAGTATTGTTCAGGTTAGCTTCTCACGGTCATGTTTGTCACACAACTATGAAACGCAGTGGAGGAGATTATGGGTCAGTTTAAAGGAATAGTTCAGACATTTTGAAGTGGGGTTCTATTGAAAGGTTAGGAACAACAAATATGTTACCTGACAGCTCTTTAAATGAGGAATTTATTCAATTTATGAGGCGGCTGTGGCTCAGTGGTTAGAGCAGTCGTCCCCCAATGGGAGAGTTGGTGGTTCAGTTCCACCAGCAGTCACATGCTGAAGTGTCCCTGGGCAAGACACTGAACCCCTCATAGCTCTGATTAGTCTCCACAGATTCAGATTATCTTTGTAGCGGTGTAGTAGAGTGCTGTGTGAATGTGTGTGGAGGTAAATGAGGCACAGGTTGTTGTGAAGAGCTTTGAGTATCTTGATCAGATAGAAAGGAGATATATAAGTTCAGTCCATTTACCGTTTAAACAACCTCACTTTAGAGAAACAGTAACAGTTTACAAGGCTGGTGAGCTGACAGTTTAAACAAACAGTAACCACCACCTGAAATCAGCTCTGGTCTTAAACGTCACAGCTGCTCGTGAACGCTGGTTCATCACCGTTTGACTGTCTTGAGTTTTTTTATCAAGTGGTTCTTTACATTTCATCTGTTGGTGTTTGTGGGTGAAGTAGCAGCAGCTCCCTGGAGACACTTCCTGTAATCCAGTGGATTAACTTAGTAATGCAAAACTGACAGGAGTTTTGAAATGGGAGCATTTTCATGTTTTCTTTCCATTTTTAAACAGGATTTTGCTTTTCTGATACGACTCCACTTTCCAAGTTTTCAAACAGTTCAAACTATTGTACAAGCATTTACGTTGTCGTCAGTTTTATATTACAGGGTTATTCTGGCAGAAATATTAAGATATTCCTTCTGAAATTCAGAATTGTGAGTCTTTATTTGCAGGTTCAGAGTAATTTCAACCTTTCCCTGTGTTGCAATGCTTCACCTGTTTCCATAGCCCGCCCTGTCCCTAGAGAAAGATGGCGTGTCTCAGGAGCGCCCCGTCCGATCTTCCCGGCAGCTTAAGAAGAAGCAAAGAGTTCCAGTGGAGCCGGAGCTCTCCGAGTCCGATGAGTATGTGGATTTCATCGAGTCGAGGCACCAATCCTTGTCTGAATTCAGAACCGTTATCGTCGGAGACGAGACGGAGACGAGCTCTGCTGTGCAAAGCATCCAACAGGTAGATGACTCGAGATGTCCTGCTGAGAGATACTTTACAATAAGATACGTATGAATGTCTGTTCTCCTCGTTTCCAAAAAACACAACAAGTAGTGAAGCGGTCTCCGTTAGAATAAAATGAAACACGAGCTGAAGTTTTTCTTACTGAAGAACCAAATGCTCCGAGACAGCAGCTCACTGCAGAATGCCTCGTGTAAAAAGACCTTAGAAGAAACCAAACTAAAAGAAACAAATACTTTAAACTGTAGTCAAACACTCACTGCCCGGTTCATTGATGCAAATTATTAGATATTTTTATCAATGACCCTGAAGTCAAAACAGCTGAAATAGGTGCATTTATAAAAATCAGTAAGACTCTGGATATGTAACGTGGATAAATGAACCAAAACAATGTGGTGAAAGATTTGAGTTTATCAAATTCATTCATTGTAATGAATAAAATAAAAGTATAACCACACAAATGGATCTTGTAGCAAATCTGTTTTTTTGTAAACAGATTTTTTTTTCCCACATTAGATGTCTGGGAAAAAGTAGCAAATTTATGTCTTTGCTTTGCAATAATTATTGACAGAGGTTGGTTGCTTGACTTGGACCCTTGTTTTATTATAGTTTTTTTCCAATTTGAAACAGTGAAGTGGGACTGCAACAAATGGGACCTGTGTGTGCATCTTAAAAGTGCTCAGCTGGTTTAAGGTCATGAGAACTGGGAGCATTTATCAACACATCAAACTCAATTTTTTAATTCTAAATTAATCTCAAACCGTTCGGGCAGTGAAATGGTCACATTTTCATTTACTTACTGACTTTTATTTAACCAGTCATATCCCACTGAGATCACAGATCTCTTTTGCAAGAGAACCCCGGGCCTGAAAGCAGCCTAACGTGCACGTTTTTTGGACTGTGGAAGGAAAGCGTAGTGCCCGGAGAAAACCCACACAAACATGAGGAAAACATGCGGAGGAAACGCCACACAGAAAGATTCAATTCAGGAATTGAACCCAAGACCTCCTTACTGTGAGGCAACAGTGCTAACCACTAATCCATTATGCTGCCGAACAATTAACAATCACATGTCCACCTGTGATTAGAGCACGACCAATATGGACATTTATGGTTGTCGTCGATGCCGATAGTGGGAGGGGAGTCGACCGCCGATAACGGATATAAAGGCTGAAAACCTTTGAGCTTTGTCCACCCCTAAGAATCTCAAGTAAACAGCTACTTTTAAACTTGTTTTAACACTTGAAGAGTTGAACCAGTCTTCCTGCTGTGCGTTCACATTTTCTATGCTCCACTATTCACCATAAAGTCATCAAGTGCATTACAAAAATATAACTTAAATAAAGAAACTCCCTTCCCTGTTCATTGTTTAAACAGTCAGTCACGTCTGGTGAAGGTAGAACTAGTATTGATCGCAGCAGTGTTTCATTTTTCTTTGTAGAGACGTAAAGATTTCAGACAAACAATGCATTTCATTGAGGACGACAAAGATAAAGTTACTAACACTGATACATTTTACCTCTACGTTACATTTGTTGTTCTGGATAAAGTTTTACAAGGCAAGAGCCTATGCTAGGTTATCTAAACATTAGCTTGCTAACTTGAGAGGCACATAACTAATGACAAGCGGGTTGGAGGATTGAAGAGAATTGATTATTTGTCAGTTACATCAGATCAGTTAAAATAAACTTATCATGTTCTGTTCAGCAAAATATGCGACACAGTATTGCTCCCTGCTTCGGCTGTATTGAATGTGAAAGTGAAACTTAAGTGAACGGCCATGACTTGAAAGTAGTCTGCATGCGCCCTCTGCTGGATACATTGTACAATTTCACCATTTGCAAGTAAGGACACGGCTGGCGCTCAGCATTTTAGGGATGAAAATTAGAAGTGTTTATATTGGTGCATAACTGACCAATTATCACCGGTACGATAGGTCCATAAATGTCTACATCAACCTAAGATATCGTCCGTGCTGATATATCAGTCGAGCTCTACCTGTGATATGCACTGGACCGTTTTGATGGGCTGCTGTTCTGCAGAAATGACTCTCCACACAAAAACAGGGATGAAGTTTGTGATCTGACCACATTGATCTTTGCAGACTTTTTTTTTTAATCGGTCAACACAGACCAGCCTTCACGCCTCACATGGCCGTTTTACCAGTTTTTTTTTTTCTTCCTTGGACCCCCTTTGGAAAGGTCCACCACTCCAGACCAGTACGATTTCACAAGAGCTGCAGATAAAAATAAATTATTATTTAACCATCCATTAGTTTAGTTCTGTCATTCTCTTCTTCAGTGAAACACGATGGATTTTTTTCATTAATTCAACCTTTATTTATTCAGGTAAATCCCATTGAGCCTCGAGGACTCATTTACAAGAGAGACCTGATTTCAACAAAGAAAGATGACACCAATGGACAGTTATAAAAAAGTCATACAGATTTTTTTTTTTTTAACAAATAGGATGGCTAAAAGAAAAAGGTAACAAAAAAACAGCTAGATTCTAAGGCGAATGTAGAAAACTAACAACAGGAACATGTCTGCATTGGTCCCTGCCAGGACTCCAACAGATTCTTGAATCCACTTAGAGAGGTCAAAGGTCGAGAGCTTCAGATCTTTTTCCAAGATCTTCCAGGAAACAGGAGCGGAGTAGGAGAAGGCCCTTTTGTCTAGTTCAGTTCACACTGAGGGAACACTGCAGGTAATAATGTCCTGAGAGCGCACGCTGTAGCTGCACTCACACAGAGACATGTAGGAGGAGATGTATGAAGGCAGCAGACCAAGAAGTGATTTAAAGATGAAGATGTACCAGTGAGAGAGTCTGCGTGAAGTTAATGGTGACCAGTTAACCAGTGAATACTGGGTGCAGTGGTGGGTACGGTAATCACAGCCAGTTATGAATCTTAGTGCACCATGATAGACAGCATCCAACATCTGCAGCATCCAACATCTGCAGGGTGCTTGTAGGAGCGTTCATGTATTTGCAGCCCATGTCCAGGTGCTTTTAAGACACAATAAGATAAATTATTTTTGTTCATGTTTTGTAATGTTGTGTATCTGTGTATTGTGGTGTGGGGATAAATGTACGGCACGGTTTAGTTATTTTGTTCGTGATGTGCGTCTGACCTGACTGCTGCCGTTTCAGGTGGTAGTCCTGGCTGACCCCAGCGCTCCATCAGCCCCCTCCCCCAACAATTCAGTGGGGCTGACCAACATCACCGTCACACCCATCACCAGCCACGCCTCTGCCCAGTTCACCAGTCTGCAGCCTGTTGCCGTGGGCCACCTGACGGGCAGCGACCGGCCCCTCACTTTGGACAACTCCATCCTCACTGTCACCTTCGACGCTGTAAGTGGCTCCGCCATGCTCCACAATCGGCCCACAGAACTCATCCCAGAGACGGTGGGGCCCACTAGTGGCGCCGCGCCGCAATCTGTCGCCCATTTCATCAACCTCACCACTCTGGTCAACCCCATGAGCCACCAGCTGGATGCCCCGACGCTGGCCTGGAGGCCCATACCAACTGCTGAGGACCAGGTCACCTCTGTGGTGGATGGTGCTCAGGGGGAGGGTTCTGTGGTTCAGGGTGCAGAGCCTGGGCAGAGCAGCCAGTGTCAGACACTCAGCACCCAGCAGCAGAGCAGCTCACAGCAGATGTTCAGCTACTGAGCAACACCAGGGGGTGCAGGTCACCTCCCACACACTGTAACACTGATCTGATTACCCTGAAGAAGTCCATGTGATGTATTTATTTTTAGTTTTCTGTTTTTATAGACACAACAATAATGTATGAAAACGTTAGAGAAATGGCACCTGGATCCAAGATCCCCGACCTGTCGAAACCAAAGCACCGTCTGAAAATCCCCACGCTTTACCAGCCTTTACAAACATGCATGTTTTCAGAGCAATCTGCTGTGAAGAAAGAAGACGAGACGTTTTAGTAGAAAGATGAATTTTGTGATTACGTTTTGGTTCTAACAGGTCCACTGATGACATGTTGTTTTTCAGTTATGTAAATTATAGCTGTAATTATTGTTTATCTTCAAGAAAAATCTTTTTCTATACTTTCTAAACAGAATGTCTCGTGGTTTTCTTGTGTGTGTGGTTGTGGAAGAAAAACTTTTCTGTATGAAATGGCTCATGTCAGTCGATAGGTATCAACAGAAATCTGAGTATTGTCACAAAAGATCAGAAATCGTTTTGAAACGATGGTTAAGTTTTAATTTATGTAGCCACAATTCACAACAAAGTCATCACAGGACACTGCACAAAACACAAGTTGAAATCAAAAAAACAAATTTACATAAAAACAAATTCCAAATTACATCAAATATGACACTGAAGACCTATTAATCCATGAAGGAATGCATATCGCCCGCTGCCTTTCATGACAGTTTTAAACTAAGATCCTCTTAAATGAAAAGGGATGGAGTTGTAACCATTGAAACCTTGAAAATATTGTCATTTCATGCAGTATTGCATGAAGTGACCCTCAGTATGACTGTCACCTACTACCACGTTAATATTTATATCAGTGGCCGTTATAGATATTTGTTCTGTAAGGTCAGTTAGCTGTGGTGGCCATCTTTAATTGTGTTGGCTTGAAATGTTAATCAGATACAGTGCTTATAAAAAGTACTATTCATAATGATAACTTTAAGTCTTGAGCAATTACAGACTAACTTCCACCTCCTCAAAACAGACTTCTGTAGACATCTACAATTAAGAAACTACCTAATTGCACATAGAGTGGGAAAAAATTACAAAACTTACACCTATCCACCTTGTTCCTGGGGGCTCTACTGTATAAATGATTATGGGCACAACTTCCTGTCAGACAGGAAGTAGCAGTAAACATCGGTTAACCATGGTAGAGGAGCACGGACCGCAGTTTACTTGAAAGTAATTTGCATTCAGTTTAGCAGATAAAACACTGTTTTTGTTTTGTTTACATTTATTTAACGACCATAAATTTAATAAAATAGCCGTGCTGAGTTCAGGTACCTGTTGTGTTCACGGCTGCAGAACAACCAGCCCAAATTAAATCAGCGGCTACAACAGAGTTTGGAACACATACCCCTCCAAAAAGTGTTCATGTGAAAAGAGGTGTAGTTTCATCTCCTACCTACAGACGAGGAATTAAGAAGAATGTGGCTGCAAAATGTGAACTTGAAGAGACCACCCAAAACTGTGAGCTCTTTGTTGACAAACAGCCGACGGAGGAAAACCTGCATCCTACTTTGTGTCTGGACTAGAATAAACCACCGGAGAAGAGACGGCGGATCCTCGGAAGGATTGAAAACCGTGACGAGAACATCAGGTTTGATTTCAAGTCCATGGAGGTCACAGCTTTATAATATTTGTTCATCTTCAGTTTTATGGTTTTCTCTACAATTAACCCGAGCTCAGTGATGGAGGACTTAAAGGCTTTGGCTGGGCTCTGTCTGTCTTGAGGTAAATAAGATTGTGTCTGACCTCTTTTAAATGGACTGTACTTGTATAGCGCCTTTCTATGTCATTTCAAGATACTCAAAGCTCTTTAGAAGCTGGCTCTCGGGACATGGAATGTCACCTGTCTGGTAGGGAAGGAGCCGATGTGTGAGGTTGAGAGGTTCCGGCTAGAAATAGTTGGACTCACCTCAACGCACGGCTCTGGCTCTGGAACCAGTCTCCTTGAGAGGGGTTGGACACTCTTGCCCCTGGTGAGAGGCGCCAAGCAGGAGTGGGCATACTCGTTGCCCCCCATCTTAGTGCCTGTACGTTGGGTTCACCCTGAACAAGAGGGTAGCCTCCCTCTGCATATGTGTGGGGGGACAGATTCTGACTGTTGTTTGTGCTTATGTGCCAAACGGCAGTTCAGATTACCCACACTTTTTGGAGTCCTTGGAGAGGGTACTGGAGAGTGCCCCTCCTAAGGACTCCCTTGTTCTGCTGGGGGACTTCAACGCTCATGTGGGCAATGACAGTGAGACCTGGAGGTGTGGTTTGGAGGATCGGCCTCCCTGATCTGAACCCGAGTGGTGTTCTGTTATTGGACTTCTGTGCTCATCATGGATTGTCCATAACAAACACCATGTTCAAGCATAAGGGTGTCCATAGGGTGACTCTTGGCATCAGGACACCCTAGGCCGCAGTTTGATGATCGACTTTGTTGTCGTCTCACCTGATCTGTGGCCAAATGTCTTGGACACTTGGGTGAAGAGAGGGGCGGAGCTGTCCACTGACCACTATCTGGTGGTGAGTTGGCTCCAATGGTGGGAGAGGATGCCAGTCAGACCTGGTAGGCCCAAACATATTGTGAGGGTCTGCTGGGAACGTCTGGCAGAGTCTCCCGTGAGAAGAAACATTAACTCCCACCTCCGAGAGAACTTCAAACACGTTTTGGGGAGGTGGGGGACACTGAGCTCAAGTGGGCCACGTTCCACGCCTCCACTGTCGAGGCGGCTTATCATAACCCTAACTCTTAAACCCGTTGGTGGACACCAGTGGTGAAGGATGCTGTCAGGCTGAAGAAGTAGTCCTATTGGGTCTTTTTGGCTTGTGGGACCCCGGAAGCAGCTGATGGGTACCGGCAGTCCAAAAGGGATGCAGCTCAGGTGGTCAATGAGGTAAAAGCTTGTGCGTGGGAGAAGTTTGGCGAGGCAATGGAGAATGACTTCCGTATGGCTTCAAGGCGATTCTGGTCCACCATCTGGCGTCTCAGGTGGGGGTAGGGGAGGAGCGGTACATCACCAACACTGTTTATAGTGGGGATGGTTTGCTGCTGACCTCAACTCGGGATGACGTGGGTCGGTGGGCAGAGTACTTCGAAGACCTCAATCCCACCAGCACGTCTTCCATGGATGAGATTCGCCTGGGGTTCCTTAAGGCTCTGGATGTTGTGGGGTTGTGTTGGCTTACACAACTCTACAATATTGAGTGGACATCGGGGGCAGTTCCCCTGGATTGGCAGACCTGGATGGTGGTCCCCCTTTTCAAAAAGGGGGACCGCAGAGTGTGTTCCAACTACAGGGGGATCGTGCTCTTAAGCCTCCCTGGTAAAGTCTATTCAGGGGTTCTAGAAAGAAGGGTCCATCAGATACGCAAATCTTGGATTCAGGAAGAGCAGTGTGGTTTTTGTCCTGGCCGTGGAACACTGGACCAGCTCTACACCCTCAACAAGATCTTGGAGGGTATGTGGGAGTTTGTCCAACCAGTCTACATGTGCTTTGTAGACTTGGAGAAGGCGTTCGACTGCGCCCCTCAGGGAACCCTGTGGTGGGTACTCCAGGAGTATGGAGTACCAGACCCTTTGATATGGGCTGTTAGGTCCCTGTATGACTGGTGTCAGAGCTTGGTTTGCATTGCCAGCAGTAAGTCGGGCTCATTCCCGGTGAGAGTTGGACTCAGCCAAGGTTGCCCTTTGTCACCGATTCTGTTCATAACTTTTATGGACAGAATTTCTAGGTGCAGCCAAGGTGTTGAGGGGATCCGTTTTGGTGGCCTTAGGATCACAGCTCTGCTTTTTGCAGATGATGTGGTCCTATTGGCTTCATCGGGTTGTGATCTACAACTTTTGCTGGAGTGATTCGCAGCTGAGTGTGAAGCAACCGGGATGAGGATCAGTGCTTCCAAATCCGAGGCCATGGTCTTGAGCCGGCCTTAGTTTGTAAACCAATTGATGCCGGAACACAAATAGCAGGTGGTCCGGTGGGGTGTCCGTGGGTCCTCCCACAGAAAATTTAGAATAAAAGAGATGCCATTTCCTGCATTTTGGTGTGTTTTAACAGGTTGTTAACTGTCTGTAAGCATTTGATTAAACTGATTAAATACAGGTCTCCCTTTTCAAGGAGTCCTCAAGGCTCAATGAGAGTAACAACCTGTATAAATAAAGGTTGAACTAAAATTATTATTTTAGAGAGCAGTGAATAGAGCAGCTCCAATTCTGTCAAGCGTCCTAACACCCCCCCCCCCCCCACACACACACACACACACACACACACACACACACACAAACTTCAATGTCCGACCCGAACTCTTCTCAGCTGAATTCAGTCATGCACGTTGTTCTGCTCCAATCTCTGTTACCACTGCCTTCAGGTGCTTTAATTTTCTGTTGTCCAGACATCCGTCCATTTATTTTAGATAATAAATTGGACTGTCTTTTTGACATTTTGATCACTGTTATTTTTGACTAATTTTGAAACATGATGTTATGGGAATAATACACATCAAACATTTCACTCAAATTAATGTTTTTATTGTAAGCTTTTTTATTTATTATCTTTGAAATGTATGCAGGAGTTCTGACACATTAGCAGTTGTGCGCGCTCTTCAGAGCTGTCTGGAGATGCTCCTGTGCATAAAACGTGCACTGTCTGCAGGGCGCACAGCTGAGCGCGGTGAAGCTGTCACCCCACTGACGTCAAAAATTCCAGTAAATACAATGAGTGGTTAGTGCTATGTTTGTGCTGGTTTGTGCCGTTAAAATTTTTGTTTGTGCTGTTTTGGTTTCTGAGACACAGCTGAAGGTGGATGAAGACGCTTCATCCCCGTGGGACATGCAGTCAACGTCTCTGCTGGGCAGGCGCTTGTGCGCGAGCTGTTGTGCCTGCTGCAGCAGTAACATCCACTCCACAGATATAGACAACGTCTCCTCTTGTTGTATTTTTAATAAATAATCAAAATAAAAATGTGCAATGACATTGGACTTTTATGGGCGGAGATATGAGCTGCGGGATCCAAGCGAACAGTTGCCGGAATGCACACGATAAAAATGAGGGAGTTCCTGGATCTTGTTCCGGCAGGATCCTGCTGAAATTAACCACTGGTCTTGAGCCAGAAAAGGGTAAAGTGCTTTATCCGGGTCGGGGAGGAGGTCCTGCCCCAAGTGGAGGAGTTTAAGTATCTCGGAGACTTGTTCATGAATGAGAGAAAAAATGGAGCGAGAGATCGATAGGCGGATAGGTGCAGCGTCTGCAGTGAAGCGGGTGCTGTACCGGTCTGTTG